TATATATACATACACATATATACATCCAGTGATTAGGTGAATCAAATGAGAGGGCAGCCCGAGACCCAGCCCGACAAATACCCAGTCATACACAGACACAATCACACAGTCCCACCCTCATTCTCACACCCATTCATTCAAAGACAGACAAGATAAACGCCACTCCCCACTCACACTCCCGATACACACTCTATACCCCTCGTGCACATTCTTCTCCGAACTCCTCACACTGGACCGGACGAGACCGAACCGGTTTGGAGGCAGTATGAACCGACCCTACCGCACCTGAGGCAGGTGGAGAAGGCGGGCCCTCCCCTGAACGCATCCAGAAGAGTCCGGTCTGCTTTGTTTTAGAACTTCCAGGGACCAGATAACAAAAATTTTTTGCGGATCTGGTAAAAAGCGGATCTGGTAAAAATGCTTCCATCCAGCTGTAACTTGTTCAGTCAGGTTTGCACCGCTCTCATTTTATTTTTGACTCTTCCAGTCACCGTTTGAACCTCTGAACGCTCCTCTAAGTTAAAACTCACCACTTGCATACATGTCAATGAGCCTCAACAATCCATACTTTTAGCAATAAATAAATAAAATAATACATATTAACACACGTGCGGGGGGATCACAGGCGGACTGTCGGCCGTGGAGATTTGAGGAGGAAGACATGAGGAGGGCAGAATGTATTTATAGTGGCAGAGCGGGTTGGAGGATGTTTATTTTGAAGGTATTTATTGTTTTTTAACGTCCTACAGGCTCTGAAATGTTAAATATATTTGAAACTTTTTTTAATCCGTAAAACTTAAAAAAAATCTGGGAGATTGTTCTGTTAACATCAGTATATAGGCTTACCTGCAAAATGAGGAAAAAATTACAGACAATCCATACAACTTGACATGCTGCACTTGAGGAGCACAGTGGGACAGGAGAGACTGAGAGGACTTGTCATGTGGTCCTGAATAAGAGATCAAAGAGCATCACGGACGAGTTCTCGGAGCGCAAGGTTCATCATATGCCCTTAGTGGTGAGTAGCTACTTCTGTTTTAAATTTTGTTTGTGAACATGTGGGCCACTGTGCCAGTTTTACTGAACTTTAGCTACTGATAGGGTGCAGGTTCTGAGTTGAAATAGATAAAGCTGGTGTCAAAATGACCCATCTACTATCCGTGGTGCTGAACTGTTTTGAATTTGTGTTGCTGAGTGTTTTTTTTCCTCTCTTGGTTTGTTACACTTCATGTTCGTTTGATGAACTTCAGAATAACAGTCACTCTGTGGTGCTGTAAGTCCTGCGGTTGCAGGCACGTGTATGTTGTATAAAATGATGTTATCAAGAGATTTATTATTTGGTATAAAGGGCCCGGTCATTTGGCCCGGTTCTGATTTGTTCCGCTAGTGCTGCAGGCGCAGCATCTGAGGCAGAACTGCAAAACCAACATGACAATAGCCGCTTTCTATGAATGTTTAATCATTATCATTTAAAAAAGAAAGTGACGGGTAAAAATTGATCATGATGGATTTTTTTAACCCTGTCAGTCAAAATGACGGACAGCAAAAAAGTCTAGCGCAACCTCTGGTCACATCATTCATTTTCCCCAAAGCTGCTTCGACCTGACATTTTCACTTTGACATTTTTGTGTTTGTGTTCCCGGGACCAGCACCTGTCCACTGAAGCAGATGTGCAGACAGTAAAGAAGGACAGCAGTAATGAATTGGAGAAAATCATATACGAAGAAAAAAACAACGACCACCAGGTAATTTAAACCACTAAAACCTGGAAAGAAATTATCCAACGATGTTGGTTTAGGCCTGCTTTCCTTTCCTTTCTCTCTTTCACCTCCTCTTCAGGTGCTGCTTCAGATCGAGGAGAAGCTGTTTGCCTACCTGCACCAGGCGGTTTTCAGAGAGGACAACGGTGAAGCAGTAAGAGCACAAAAAACAAAACAAAGAAACTAGTTATTGTGCAACAATTTATCACGCTGCCAAAGATAGATTAGATCCAGTCAGTAGTCTAAATGTCAAACAACAAAAACAATAACAAAGGAACAAAATGTGTGTGAGAGTAAACTGGAATTTAACCTACTTTTCAACTTCCCCATTGTTGACATGTACACTTTCTGTCCACCAGCTTGTGAAGTATGATAAAGAAGTCCAGGCCTTTCATGATGTTATTACAGAAGAGGACATCAAGTTTCCACCCAGGTGAGGCTGAATGAGCAAAGAGCTGTAAAGAACGTGCTTAAAAAATAAACCTCTCCGTGTCTTTCACGTTCTTTCCTCGTTTTATGTTTAGCTATCCCTACAGCGAGGACTACACTCAGCCGACGCAATACATGAACACTCGCTGTCCCGCCTGGTGTGATCGGATCCTCATGTCACACACGGCCCAGGATCTCATCCACAGGGTCGGTTTGAAACTCCTGTTTGTGTCCTCACTCTTCCATGCTTCCTTGCTCTAAATGATCAAAGTGTTTCTTGTCTTATTCAGAGCACTGATCCTGATGAGAAGCGTGTTGTTTACAACACAATGGGTCCTAATGTTTGTATGGGAGACCACAAGGTAGGAGTTTAAAAAATGTTTATATTGTCCAGACAATTAATCGGACACGTGGAGTGACACTTTCCTGTTTTTTTGTTTTTCCCTGTAGCCCGTTTTCCTGTTTTTCTCCCTGAAGACGGATAGCCATTGACTGGGATGCTTCTCAATGGTGAGGATATGGGTTAGTGTGCACAGCTCTGCAGTGCTAACAGTTTGCAGTAATCCTGCTCTGCTCCCAGAAGGGCCATAACCCGAACGGCCCAGCGGAGTCAGAGTATGAACTAAGATGAAGTACCAGCGGGACACAAGCACTCCTTTGTGTCCAGTGTAGTTGGATCAGCACCTTCCACTGATCTATGCCTATCGAATCCTCTCCACTGTCACTGTTGCTGCACGTTTAGTGCATCTCAGGACTTCTTTTCATTAATTACCATCTGGACGGCCGGCTGGAGAGGCATTTATCGTCTCCGACAGAGTATTGGCATTTTTACGGCCATGATTTTGTTTTGCTGCCTTTTAAATTTATTTATCTCAGGATGGACTGCTTTCTCATGAGTGCTCTTTAGTGGACTTTAAAATAATGAGCGCCACACAGTAAAAGATGCTACAACCATCTCTTGCTTCTTTCTTGTGTTTTACTATTTGAGACCAAAAAAAAAACAATACCAACAAAAACAACTTGGTTTATTCCAGGCTTCACGTATTTAACACTAATTATTTTAGTTTACATCTCGAACTTAAAAAGAGGAAGAGACAGGAAAGAGGAAGCTCCATATTGTTTGAATTCCTTTTAAATCTGATCTCATTCACGTGCTGCTGGTCCACGTGATTTTAAAGTGTGTGTTTGTGTTTTAGGTCTACAACCCGCTCACCTGCAGCAGATAATCGGCACGATCATCAGCCATCGGCATCATCGGGGCCGTGAACTTTCTGCTCTCGCATCACTGGTATTAGATCTCACTGCTACTGTACACCTGTCAACCACAGCTCCAGTGTCACGACCACGGATGTGTTCACACTTACTCAGATCCTACACCCACCTCTCTGAGCTTTAGTGTCTCAAAGGTCTCAGTTTGTAAGAACCTTCCTGGAACTTCTGCTCGCAGCTGATGAGACTGTTGTTATGAAAGTAAAATGAGGTTCTTCCTGTCCCTAAATAATTTATTAAAAACCCTCCAGTCAGGCACCAGTGCAGCACTTAGAGTCATTATGGACGTCGTTATTTGACATGAGGATCAACTCTCAGTAATTAATTAATAAAGACCATAAAAGTACAATTAATTTTCTTGAAGAAAAAACGTGTTTAGTCTGATGTGTTGCTCTTATTTTTTGTCACATTTTTGTCATTTTTTACTTTGTAGCATTTTTCCACAGAGAAGGAATGTTGCTCCCTCAGTTTCTTGTTGACGTGTTTAGTTTGGTTTTCTCCATAGACAGAGCTGAACTAATGTTTTACTGACCTGTTTTTTTTTAATTGCACCACACACAGCAATTTTGACTGAGTGACAATGTTCTGAAGTCCTGATAAATGCAGTTTTGGAATCCATTGTTTAAGGTAGTGACCTTTGATGGCAGCAACATCAGCTTTTACCTGCCGCAAATGGGGAAACTGAACATGTTCCTCTGCATAACTTATAGTGATGTTCTTTCTGTGTACTTTCTATGTACTAACTGTACATAATACCAAGTGCTTTACCGACAAGCCACAGCTCCACAGTTCTCAGTTTGATGTCTGAGTTTAGCTGTCCTCAGAGAAAACATTCAAACATTTCTCTCCACATTTGTTCTGGTTCACATTAATCTTATTTCTTTGCCAAAAGAGTTTTACTGTCATCCTCTTGTATTTTTTTTAGAAAAGTTTTTTTTTATTCATGGACTTCTTTAAACCTAGTGTAAATGCAGTATATATACATGTGGACCCTCACACAACACATTCAGCAGCACTGTTTGTTCATGATCGTTTTCTGACCAACTTTATTATTTATTTTTTTTTTTGCTGTTTTACTGTAGTTTAAGTGCAGCAATGTTTTTTTCTGTTCAGTTTGTTGTTTGGATTTTATTAAGAACTGTTTGAGTGAAATATGTCTGCTACTTGTTGTATGTTGCTTCATCGGAGTGTAATGTGGTGAGACACCAATCTATATTTATACAGAAAATACACAAGTTCACAAATATTCATAGAAAGTTTAGTTATTTACATCACACTGCATCAATATAAATGTTAAATGTTGATTGAAACAGTTTATATTTATTGTAAAAGAAGCAGAGTTGGTTGTAAGGCCAGTATTACCTTTAGATTAAGCAAACACTACGTTATTATTTTTTGCTTTACTTTTGTAAATAAAATGTTGCTCTCAGTAATATGTTGCAATGTTATTTATGACTGACACAGTTTAGACTTATTACGTCAATTCAGAAATGAATTTGAAAGAAATATAGCTGAATAAATTAAAAAAATAGATGTGGACATAAAGTAAAATCTATTTAATTTATTCATCAGTTACCTTATTTGCATTAATTTTTTACATTTTAATTATTTCTGCTGTGTAAATGGTTTTGGTTTCACTTTTTAAATCTTTAGATGCTCTATTTTTATCCCTCATTTGCTTTATCTGCAAAAATATTAACTTGAATAGGAATATTTACATTTCCTTCTGGCTTTTGCTCTAAGCCAGTCAGTTTTTAGCCTGATAATTCTCCCACAGCTTTTCTTTCAGGACAACATAAAATCAGTCATTTATTTCACCTTAACTGAACATTAAATTCACTTTATAAACACATTGAATGCAATATATATACACACACACACACACACACACACACACACACACACACATATATATATATATATATATATATATATATATAGCTTAGAATGAAACTCACCAAAATTCACAGAAGTGGTTCGTTCGTTATTTAACAATTTGACCCAGATTCACGGCTCAGAAATCCCCAGAAAACAAAGCAAAGGGACTGAAACTCAAATCTTAGCACATATTTGCAGAGCAGCAGTGACTAACACATAACGTCCTCCACATTGTTTATTTAGGATTGTCTATAGTAATGTTTCAAACTGTCCCTGCAGCATTCCTCAGCTTCTTTTTGTTGTAAACATTTTCTGTTGGCTGAAGAGGAAAAAACCACCTATTCAGCTGGGTTACGGGTCGTTGTCTTACAAACCACATCAGTAAATCACAATTTGACCACTGACCCCTCACACTCACCGCTTGCTTTTATAACTCAGTCGCCAGAAGATATTTGGAAACTGAATCTTTTATTTCTTTGAATTTAAAAAGTAAAAAGAATCATACGGTTTGATAAAGAGACATTTTATTTTGCAGCTTACAATCAAATGTATTTTTTAATAGTTTATTTAAAAACAAAACAAAATGCAAACAAATCTGTTGGTTAAAATTTGAACTGACGCCCTTGTTAGACATTCAATTCATCAGTTTATTTATTCTGTACATTTTCCCATATTTTTATCTAAAAAAACAACAACTGTATTTTAGAATTTAGGTCTGTGATGAAACAAGACACTCACGGTAACTTATTTCATGCATGTAATGTAAAGACTGTTGATTTTGTTTTACCTATAAATTACTTAACTCTTATTTTTTTCTATTAAAGTGTGACATTTTGTTTCAAAGGCATATTTTCTTTTAATCCTACTATTCTTTTACAATCTGTTTGGTAATAAAAAGACTGCAATTAGTTTTCATCTATCAGTTTTATATTTGTTTTTCTACAGGTGCTTACAGAATTGTGTGCAAGAAATTGTTTTCAATGTGATAGTGTAACAGACCAGACAGATTTCATTATTATTATTATTTAACATTTTAATTTTACAGAAGGTCCTTTTAGTTTTCCTCTGGTGGATCTCAGACACACATGCTTACAGATGAGCTTTTGTAATCCAACTAAAAGTTTTTTTTGTTTGTTTTTTTAATCTCAGCATGCAGGTCTGCAGAGTAGCACGTGTGTGTGTGTGTTAAACGTGTGTTGAATGTGTGAGTTGAACGTGTCAGACAGGGTGCGGCCCCAGACGCAGGACCGAGAAGGCCCTGCGGTGTTTGCGCAGCAGCAGTCGGATCTTATCATCATCAGAGTCCGGGTCCAGAGGCTTGTTGTACTCCTCGTCCTCCACCTCGTTCTCGGAGGCCTCGCCGTTCTGCCCCGCGTGGCTCGCCTGCGTGGAGCTCGGTTCCGAGGCGCTCTTCTTCCTCCACTTGGTGCGTCGGTTTTGAAACCACACCTGACGCACACACACACACACACACACACACACGCAGACACACAGACACACACACACACACAGGGAGAGTAGATGGCTTACATTGTTGGCTGTGATTAATGAGCACGTGTTGTTGAACAGGTTTACGGACATTTTTGAAAAAAACATTTTTTTTGTTCTGTTATGAATTCACATAAAGTCCTCATAGGTCTACGTTTTTATTTTACCACGCTGCAGGCGAAAACTAACAATAAACGATAGAACTCAAAAGAAAACGGAGTGTTATTTCACGACATGAAACCCTCACCTTTACTTGGGATTCGGTCATCCCCAGAGAATAGGCCAGCCTGGCTCTCTCCGGCCCGGCCAAATACTTGGTCTGCTCGAAGGTTTTCTCCAGAGCAAATATCTGATGTCCGCTGAACGTTGGTCTGGTGTGTTTCTTCCTGCTGGACATTTCCCCAAAAGGACCATTGCCTAACACGAAAAAAAAAAAAATCTTTTAAGTATAAGTTTAAAATATATAATTTTTTAATGTAATAATTGTGTACATTTATTTATTTGTTTATCATCCTATGAAGTGTTAGAAAGTTTAATATTACACTTTAAATGAGATCCTGCCGTCATAGAATTAGAGCAAATGTAGATCTAATCAACTTTTAATAAAACCCATTAGAATAGGCATGCTGCATCTAAAAATGCCTCCATTAGTCATTTGCTACATTAAAAACAGGATTAAACCAATGTCTCCTAATCTTTAGGCTTGCTGGTTTAAAGTCTTAAGAATAAACTCGGGGTTAGGGTTAGTTGTTGAGGTGGTAACTCGGGGTTAGGTTTAGTTGTTGAGGTGGTAACTCAGGGTTAGGTTTAGTTGTTGAGGCAGTAACTCCGGGTTAGGTTTAGTTGTTGAGGTGGTAACTCGGGGTTAGGTTTAGTTGTTGAGGTGGTAACTCAGGGTTAGGTTTAGTTGTTGAGGCAGTAACTCCGGGTTAGGTTTAGTTGTTGAGGTGGTAACTCGGGGTTAGGTTTAGTTGTTGAGGTAGTAACTCCGGGTTAGGTTTAGTTGTTGAGGTGGTAACTCGGGGTTAGGTTTAGTTGTTGAGGCAGTAACTCGGGGTTAGGTTTAGTTGTTGAGGTGGTAACTCGGGGTTAGGTTTAGTTGTTGAGGCAGTAACTCGGGGTTAGGTTTAGTTGTTGAGGTGGTAACTCGGGGTTAGGTTTAGTTGTTGAGGCAGTAACTCGGGG